GAAAAATCAATTTAAATAAGCTTAGTTGGAACCCTAATTTACTAACTTTCATTACTGGAAAATTCCAGCCTGGGGTCAGTTATTGATGCAGTGGTTCTAAAGATACATCAAGACCTGGTTTCTTTTTCCTGCTCTTGGTTCTACTGTTCCTGCCTCTGTTTTCGGAAAGGTGGTTCTTTGGTGGTGGCAAGACAATCGTGGTATCTAAGACCATACATTCCATCAGGTTCAAGGCATGTGAAATGTAGGTCTTAGAAAAGTAAGCAAAACCTTATTGATGTCCATCTATGGGACAAGCAGTGTAATAGGGCTATCTCCTCTTCTGATTGGCTGAGGATCTGGAAGTGGATATTCTCTCTTAGCACATGGGCTAAGATTGGGGAAGGATGTAAATCCATAGTAAAGAACTAGGGTGGGTACCTTAAGAAGGGAGAATGAATACTGGGTGGAAAATAAAACAGATAACCACTGAAGACACAATTTAGGTCCCTGGATTCTTTTGAAGAGAATGAAGTTTCTTGATTATTGTGTCCCCCTCCCCCTCAATTGTATACGTTGGTCAAAGTTCCCTTCCACTTGGAAATGACTGTGTGGTTTTGAAGTAGAGGACCTTCATTTAAATTCCATCTCTCTTGCCTCTTTGTAGCTGTGAAAACTTAAGCAAGTTACCTTATTTCTGTGAACTTCAGATTCTTCACTGGCCCAGCAGTAGCGTGCGCGCGCGCACACACACACACACACACACACACACACACACACTCACACACAGAATCAAGACCATCCGTCCTTCTTATCACCAGGGTGCATAAATAGAAGAGGTCTACCTGAATACAACTTGAATGGTATCAAAGAGTCATCTGTCCTCTTCTTTCTTGTGGCTCTGAAATTTCCTACCATTTAAGTAATTTTTTTGGTGGAAAACAATACTTTTCCAGAGAGCCAGGTAAAAGTGCAAATAGATCTCAGAGAAGCGACCTGAAATCCTGCATTACTGATTATTTGTCAACCATTTTGGAGATTAGCTAGACAAAGTCACTTAGTGAGATGATTCTCAATAGCAATGCAACCATCAAGACTTTAGGCAAAATGAAAGATGTTTTCCACACTTATTTTAAGATTTTTTTTTCCTTTTGCTTTTTTTGGAGAGGGAGAGAAAAAAACCTTAATTTTTTAATTTCAAGCTTCAAATTTATATTATGTACACTAAGTACTATATAAATGTCTTTAAGATATCAGTATTTGACTTGGGGCAAGATTATTTTTTCTGAATTTATTTGGAGAAATACAATGTAGCCATTCGGTTTATAAACATAAAAAAGTTAGAAAATGGCATAAAAATAATAATTTTAAAATTGACCCAGTGTTTTCTTTTGATATTTACTGGAATAACATATATTTAGCATTTACCCTTAAGATTGGTAAAACATGTTACCAAGGTATTATGCAAGAGGGGGCATCAGGTGGAGTGGTGACTAAGGTGCTGGACTCCTATATGAATGACTATGGTTCAAGTCTCAGACCTGGCTAGAAAATCATGCTGGGCATTTGTGTGTATGTATCCAAAATCCCACGAGGAGAAGGGAGAAGAAGGGATTGCAGTGTGGCCACCCCCGGTCTATACCCAGGGGTTGATTTCTTACTTTCCCTCTCACTATCTCTCTCTCAGACTCTATGGCTAGCACACACATCCTACGGCAGAAAACTAAAAAATAAAAACAGTATTATGCAAGAGATTACATCTTTTGCATAAGCGGCCCCTTGGGGATTTTGACAGAAACAAAATCCACTGGTATTGTACACTAAGCTGTATTTGTATCATAAATTACAAGAAGTGGTGAAAGCCTAAACGAAATCTTTAAGGTTGGAAGGATCTTTCATTAGTTAATTATTTGGACTTAAGGAATCAAAATAGTCCCACATTGAATTTCACATCTCTTAAAAACAGGAAGTGTTTTTAGCATCTTAAACCATTTTTTTTTGGTTATAATATAAAACTTAATGCACTCAGATTTACTTTGAAATATAGTTTACAACCAAATTAATTAAACATACATACACTGCACTTCTGCACAAGAGCAGACTTTAAAAATAGTTTTGAATTTTTAAAATTAGGCCATAGTATAAAAAACAATCCATGGGCTTACATTCAGCAAATTCACACTAGGATAAAGGCCCCAAAATCTACATATGCTGCAAGTTTATTGCATGTATTTACATGGCTCTTTCCTCCCTAGGTACTTAGAAGTTTCATATTATACAACTCTGTACCTTAAGCAAGTTTTGCAGAGATGATGTGAGATCAGATCACTGTCAGAATAGCTTGTACAGTGATGCACTACAAAAATGTATTTTGAAAGCTAACTGAGTGACTACTAAAGCCCCAAGTGCTCTTTCTATATTCACCATTGTATAGTTTACTAAAACGATACTATTCATTAGAAAAATTCACATTTTGTTTTGGCAGTGCATTAGATTGTTGGCCTATTGGTTTAGGTATTTCTAGCACATTAAGCTTTTTTTTTTTTTTATATATGTATACAATATATAAAATGTTCTTTTACTTAGTTGTGGTATGCCATTCCACAATCTACTTTCCCTGTCTACCTGCATTTCTGGGTCTGTTAAATGTTTTTTTTCCTCATCTCCTCCTATCCCTTATCTCCCAGCCCCTATGCAGTCTCTGGTATCTACTCTTGCCCTCTCTTCTCATGTGTCTTCAAAACTTTCCATTTCTGCCATAGAATACAGACATTAAGTATATATCAAGGTAGGACATATAGTGTTTGTCTTTCATAGCCTGGCTTATTTCACATAGCATTACATCTTCTATAATAGATTAAACTACTTTGTATTGAATAAAAGGATCTTATTGTTCTTTATGGCTAAGTAGTATTCCATTGTGTTTATGTGCCAGATTTTTAAAAAAATCCAATCATCAGTATGAAAGTTATGTGGAATCCATGTCTTAGCTTTTGTAAATAATACCATAATAAATAAATACTGCATATGTCTTTCTGACTGAATGATTTCCTGTCCTTTATTTAAATATCCAGGAGTAAAATTACTGGGTCATATGATACGTCTATTTATAATTTTTTTTATTAATTCACTTTACACCATCACAACACACAAATGAATTTTCCATCCAAAATACACTGTGCATTGGCTCAATCAAGCACATCCATAGCACATTAAGCTTTCAAATGTTCAATTGATTCTCAATCCTTGTATGTCTCAGCTAGGTGCTTATAATCTGATTCACTAATTTTCAACCAGTAAATATGATCCATGAGTGATAATCTTAAATTACTATTTTTTGCCCAAGTAAACAACAGAAAGAGTCGATCCTTTTAACCATTCCCTATATCAAAAGTTCAGTGGTTTCACTTAAAAATTACTTAATTGACAGGGCTAGCTGGTGGCATAGTGGTTAAGATGCTGCAACTTCCATGTGGCCAACTGTGGCTTGTGTTCTGGACCCGACAGCTTGAAACTCACACCAGGCGTGTGTGTCCAGAATCCCAGGAGGACAGTAGAAGAGAAGGGATTGTAGTAAGGCCATCTCCCCAGGAGTTGATTTCTTGCTTTCCATTTTGTGGTCTTTCTATGTCTCACCAGTGAGCACATGTGACCTACAGCAACAATCTCTAGAAAAAGGAAGAAAAATTTACCCAGCTGAGGGGTCAGCAGGTGCCACGGTGGTTAGAGCACCGGTTTCCACATGCCAGCTGAACAGTTTTAGTTGTGAACCTAAAGCCTTAAAAATCACGATGGGCACATATGCCTGAGTGCTCAAAATTCTGAGAGGAGAGTAAAACAGAAGGAATTGCAGCATGGCCATCTTCTCACTTTCTGTCTCACTATCTCATTCTGTGTCTCTCCAGTAAGTGTAACACCCCTTTGACGATAACCTAGGAAAAGAAAAAAAAAGAAAAGGTTTTCAATTGAGACACTTATTATCAAGTATAATTATGTAGTTATTTTAAGTTGCACTAGTGATACTACCATTACATCACAGTATATGTGATACACAAATGAGACGAGGTCTGCATTTTTTTTACATTAATTAGAAATCTCACAGATTTATTCCTAGTGAATTCGTTTCAGACCAACTATCAGTAAACGTAACTGAATTTAAACAGTAGTATTCTTACTTTATGACTGTACGTTAAGTAAGGTTTTAAGTTGAAATGACTTTAGTTCCTTAACTGAAGGAAATGGGAACCCCATGGCTTGGTGGTTTGGGGAGAACACTGATGATGGTGGCTCACTAAATTTGGCATAGACCTGATTAACTTGAGATTTAAAAAGTAAACTGGGACTGGATAAGCTAGCATTTCAATTTTAGTTATTTGGAAAATTTTTGTTCTTTTCCCTATTTTGCATGGCCTGCCATGCAGCTGTCAGTGAGTTAGCACTATGTCCTGTTTCTTTTTTCTTAGGAACAACCTTCATCTTGGAATTGTGGTCCTTGGTCTTCTGTCTGCTAAGCTGCTGTTGGTTCTTACTAACATTTCTAGACTGGGGTGGGGGATGGAATATTATACCTCTCTCCACCACTCATCTTTAGCTTCTTTGTTACCTTTCAGTCTGCTTTTCAGATTGCAGGATTTCCACCCCCTGTTCTCTGCTGACAAACCTAGGAAAACAGGGCTTTCTGGCGGATCCTTTCCTTTGTCTCAGTACTGCAAGTTTCCATGGGCTGATCTGCTGAGTTAGATCAACATCTAGGAGTTGGGCCAACATCTGAGTCTCCTCAGCACACATATTTGAGAGAAGTTCTGCTGACTTTAAGCTCAGAACTGTGACAATGGTTATCTCTCAAAGTCAAAGACTTCCTCCCTCTCCAAGGAGAGAGGAGGCACTCTGAGTGAACAAAGCTAACTGAGTGCTGAGCAGCTAACTCCCAACCATCCCAGCATCTCCAACTCGACCTTCTCCTCTGTCTTTTCTGACAGAAGGCAAGATTTTTTTTCTAACTGTCTCTCCCGTCATGTCATTTAGGCATGGCATTCATATTCCTTGGGTATACCAAATTTCCTAGGAAATTTGAAATTTCCACACTGAAAAACTACACCTAAGGTTCTTCTCTTCCCACTAAGTGTCTCCAGGTACAAAATGACCTTTCTCCTCTGTAATCACAGTTCTTATTTTGTAATGGAGTTGATAGTAGGGCAGGTGCCATCGGAATACTATTTATTAGGTTATTGGGAAAGTCATGACATATTTTTCTATGCAAAAATGTGTCTTGACTTTCCTGACAACCCAATATTTGAATAATTTATGTGAAGCATCAATGAGTAGTAGCCTCAGCTTTCTTTCAAGGGATAGTGTTTTTCTTTAATCTTTTAGAGTGAGGTAGATTTTTTTGAGAGGCATACTTGAATCTCTTTCCATTCTCTTTTATTTTTATTATTATTTACAAATAAAGTTTAAGAACTCTCACAAAAAGAGAGTCTGCCCTTAAATAGGAAAATTGCACATTGTTTTGTTTCAAAAGTTATAAATTTAGTGCTTAAAAAAGCAGCAGGACTGGGACCAACAGGTGGCATAATGGCTATGTCACTGGACTCCTATGTAGTCAACTACAGTTTGAGTCCTGGACCTGGTGGCTTAAATTTATGTCAGGCACATGTGTGTGCGTGCCCAAGATCCTGAGAGGAGAATGGAGGAGAAGGGATTGCAGTGTGGCCATTCCCCTTTGGGGCATGATTTCTTGCTTTTTGTTACTCTGTCTCTCTCTGTCTTTCTAGTGAGTGCACGCACTCTATAGCAAAAGCCTCTGAAAAAAAAAAAAAGAAAAGGCAGCAGGACTAACAGAGTCTGGTTTTGGAACTGTGTGCAGGCAGATGAGCAAGTGCCAGGCCAAAAAGCATTTCTCATAGTGGGGAGGGAAGTGCTTTCACAATCCTGCTCTGCTTGACTCAGTCTCAGTACTGCCTGTTCATCTTGAACTTCATAGCAATAGTCATCAGCAACCATCTCATTAGCAGGACACTTGTGGTTGCAAGGGGACAGCTCAGGCTGTGGCTTCTTTGTGTCATCCACTCTCAAGTGGTGGGCTTTGGGCTCTTCTTTATTTCTCTGAATGGGATCATTGAGCTCCTCATGATAAAATTGGTTGAGCTGCATGTAATTTACAGCCATGTTGATGGGCATGAAGGATGTCTTGCCATCTTCCTTCTTATTGTGCTGCTCTGCCAGCAGGTGATCCCTGGCATAGTCTATGGAAATTTTATTTTTTATTTTAGCAGCAATGCTAGGATCCACCTCAGGGATGATGCTCAGCTTCTGGTTGGAAAGCATCTCCTTGATATTCTTTGCTGAGGAAACACAGATGTTTTCTGGACGTCCATAGAGACAGTCCTCTGCATTCTTTGACTTCATTTTCAGTTCTTTATATTTTATGATCCCCTTTCTCTTCTTCAGTTCAGTCTCAATATACTTCATCAAGTCTGTATCCTCATACTTTTGGTTGGTTTCTGCAGAAAATGATGTCCCCAAGTGGTGGTCTCCTCTTGATTAATCTTATCTTTGACCAGCTTGAACACTGGTCTTGGGCTGGCCTGAGACCTTGTGCTGAGCAACTCTAATGATATATTTTCTTGGGTGGGGAAATAAAGAAAAACTTAGATATTAAGTTATAACATGAACCAGGTACATTCAGTTATATAATTTAGTTCTTTCAGTAACCTTATGAGAGCTGTGCCATGATCTTCCATCAGAAGGATACACAAATATCTTTTAGGGAAAACCCCTTTCCCATGTGAGGAGGAAATGAGGCATGAAGCCAACAGCCAGCCAACAACTCCTCAACCATGTGAGTGAGTTACCTTGGAAGCAGCTCCTCAGTCCAGTCAAAATTTCAGATGACTACAGGCCTGGACAATAACTTAACTGCAGTCTCAGGAAAGACTAGGAGCTAAAGTCTCCCAAACAAGTTGCCCCTGAATAGTTGACACACAGGAACTGTGAGTGTTCATACATGTTGTTGACTCTCTTAACCACTAATTTTGGGGGTGATTTAATATGTGACAATAGATAGCTAATACAATCACATATTTAGAAAGTGACACTCCTACTATTTGTACTCTGCCACTGTTATTGCAATAAAAATAATCAAATAGAAATATGGTTATTTAAATTTAGACTAATCCATTGCTTATTTATTGAGCATGTTAAAAATTTCTTGAGAACATATTGAGTACATTTTCTTCCCAAGAATTATGCTAGATGCTAGATTGACTTAAACATAGTTGAACATCTCTCGAGCCTATAGACTTACCTGTGGATGAGAGCCAGACTAGTGGCATCAAACTCATCTGAAGAGCTTCCAAAAAATCCTTGAGAGAGTTTAGTTTAATAAGTAGGATGATTTTGATTCTCAGCCATATCTTCCACTGACCTACAGAATTTAAGGGCTATCTCTTAATCCAGACAAATAAATTCTCTTTATAGTTGTCCACAAATATAATTCTTGCAGCTAAAAACTGATATTATTTAACTTTATAATTTAGAGATATCATATTCACTTGTAATTGTAAGAAATAATACTCAGAGTTCTCAGGTAACCTTTACCCAGTTTCCTTCGAAGGTAGCATCTTGCAGTACTCTACTGTAATAACACAGATAGGACAGTAAGACTTTGGTACAGTCAAGAGACAGATCATTTCTATCACCAGAAGGATTCATCATATTGTCATACTCATTCTCTTCCTGTTCTCATCACTACCAATTCCCTGGTTACCATTGATCTGTTCTTCAGGTCTAGACTTTTGATATTTTAAGAATGTTACATAAAGTGTAATATTAAGCATACTTTTCTGGAGATTTATACAGATTATTGCACACATCATTAGTTCATTCCTTTTAATTGCTGAGTAGTATTCCATGATATGGATAGATTCAGTTAAGTTGGCAATTTTATCTTCTTTACTAAGGTAAGTGCAGGTTTAGAGAAGGATGGGAAATCAAAGGTTGGTTTTACTTGTGTTAAGACTGAGGTAGCCATTAAACTAGATGTCTAGTAGGGAGATGATTATTTGAGTCTGAATTTAAGGACTAAAGACATCCTGCCTGGAGAAAGACAGTTGGAGTTGTCTTATTTTGTTCTGTGTTGCTATAACAGAATACCTGAAACTGGACGATTTATTAAAAAATGGAAAATTTATTTCTCAGTTCTGTAAGCTGCAAAAATCTCAGAACAAGATGCTGATATTTGATGAAGATCTTTTTGCTGTGACCTCTCATGGAAGAAAGTGCAAGGTCGAGAGAGAGCAAACTTACTTCCATAAGCCCTGTTAAAATAGCATTAATCTATTAATGAGGAAAGAGCCCTCCCCAAAGGCTCCACTTCCCAACATTGTTGCATTAGTGATTTACTTTTCAACACATGGATTTTGGGGGATACATTCAGGCCATAGTAATGACATTTAATGACATGAGACTAGATGTGAACATAGACTGTGACAGTAAATAAAAAAGAAAAGAATCCTGAGTCCAGAAGCCCTCATATATTTTGATGTCAGGAAAATGAGAAGAAACCAGAAGAGAAAAAGACTACAAATCAGTGAAGTAGAGGAACAAAGAGTGTGATGTGCTGGAATCTGAGTGGAGAAAGTGTTTCCAGAAGGAGGAAGTGATCAACCATCAAATAAGAAGATAGCTGAAAATTGACTCTTGAGTTTGGAGCCTTAATGGTCTTTGGTGGCCTCATCAAGATCTATATCTATTGGCAGTGTGCAGAGGAGGAAAGAAGAGAAGAAGACATAAAAATAGGAAGTGTAGACAATTCAGAATTATGCTATAAATGAAAGCATAAAAATAAAGATATGAGGAAAAAAACATTACTACTGTACAGAACAACTAATTATATGCATAAAAACTTGTATTTATATATGGAATTTGAATTTATTTTGATTGACAATGAAGTCTAAAATTTCATATAGTGAAAAAGTCTTCAATAGGCTTGATAATCTTAGCAATAGCATTTATATTTGAAGAAGACTTAGTTAAATATGAGTTGGTCTCTTCAAGATATTTAATTTTAAAGTCTTTTTTTTTTATGTCATTTGGATTTGCAATTTGTTAACCCTTTCCAATAAGGGGCCCCTAGATGAATATTTTCTTAGCAGTGATAGAAAATTTGATATTTCCATGGTATTTGTCAGTCTCTGTTTCAGAACAACCATTAAAGAATAGAAACTTACATTGAGAGTATAGGAAGAATTTAAAGAGCTACTGTCACAAACCAGGGAAACTGAGTCTCAGGCCATAGAGGAGACATAAAATCAGAGGGACAAACTCATTTATAACTTCAAACACTAATTATCAGCCTCTCAAACTATGCGACTTTCTTCCACTTTTTTTCATTATTTTTCTTTGAGAAAGATTGTTATAGGGCATGTATGCATGCCAGAGAGAGAGAGAGAGAGGGAAGGAGAGGGAGGGAGAGACAGAGGGATCGAGAGACAGAAAATGAGAAATTATCCCCTGGAAGGGATGACCATTTTGCAATTCCTTCTCCTTCATTCTCCTTTCAGGATTTTGGGCACACATGCACACGTGCCTGGCATGAGTTTTAAATTGCTGGGTCTGGGACTTGAACTGTGGTTGACTATGTGGGAGTTCAATGATGTAACCATTATGCCATCTGCTGGTCCCTTTTTTGTTTTGGTCTATACTGAAACATGCCTATTTTGAGCTATTTCAAGCTTTCCAATAGAAAAGCCATTCAGTCAGATGAACTTTCTTTTCTCTAGGACTTTTGACTACAGAGCCTTATAACTATGCCATGTATTCTCCATACCTCTTCCTTTTTCTACTGAAAATTGTGTAGGGTACACTTCCGAGATTCTTCTGCAGTGGGGTGGAGTCAAAGGAATGATGGTAAGAGTAATTTATACCATTTCCAGACTGAAGTCTTGCCCTTAAGAAAACCTCTACACAATCCTTCATGCTGTCTTCCATTTGTGTGGTTGTCAGATGTAGAAGCTTCCCTGAAAGAGCCTGAATCTTGAATCACTGTAGAACAGAGCCTCACCTTTGGATAGCATTGTACTGTGGCATGAGAAAAAAATGAACTTTTATTACATTGAATCTCTGATATTTTGCAGTTGTTTGTTTCAGTAGTGAGTGTCCTCTGTTTAATACATACTTCTTTAGATGAATGCAATGAGTATTTTTTTTCTTTTCTTTTCTTTTTTTTGGAGAGGTTTTTTCTTATTGGGCCTGTGTGCTCGCCAGAAAGACAGACAGAGACAGAGAGATAGAAAGCAAGAAATCACCCCCCAGAGAGGATGTCCACGCCGCAATCCCTTCTCCATTCTCCTCTCGGGATCTTGGGTATGCACGCACACGTGCCTGGCGTGAGTTTAAGCCACTGGGTCCAGGACGCAAATCGAGTTCAACTACATTGGAGTCCAGTGACATAGCCATTAAGCTAACTGCTGGTCCCAATGCAATGAGTATTAACTTTGGTCAACAAATTCTCTGAAAACGAATTTAGAGACAAAGAGACCATTCCAGCAAATGATTTGCAAACTGGAAAGATACAGATTTTGATACAAACGGAAAGCATGCTTAGATGACACAAAAGGAGGGGTTGTCTTAAAGAAAAAAAGGTTCCTGGTTAGGTTCTCACTTCTCTGGACCAATGTAACCTTGTATTGGGTCAATGGCAGGGTTGTTAACCAACTGAGCAACTAAAATCATCTACTTAGAAGAGGCACTCAGGAACCTGTTAAATTTCAACCACATTCTGTACCTTGGGTTAAGTTGGTTTTGGCTTTCCGTTGGAGTGAGTTCAGTTTCAAAGTGTCATGTGAACATAATTCTGGTAGAACACAGCTGTTCAAATAGGCTAGATTAATTTTTTAAGGGAACCAATGCTTGGTCCTAATATGAGGAGAATCAGTAAGAATTGAAGGTAGAACACAAAAGAGAATCAATACCAGAGGGCTGCCAACTAAAAATATATGAACACTCAAAATCCAGCCAGCCAAGAAGATTCCAGAATGTATGTATACCAAGGACTTGGATAGAATTAAAACTTTGAAAGTTTCTTTTTTGACTTGGGTAGTGGTATTAATCCAGGTACAACTTGAAGTATTTATGATTGCACAGACACCATCCTTTACAACCAGGGGATAATCTAGTACAAAAAATTATACAAAACCATCTGAGTAGTTAAAACTTTAAGCACAACACAATATAGACCACTGAGAAACTGAATACAACTTTCAATAACAGTCTCCAAGTTCCAGGTTCCAAGCATTTTGTTTAAGAGTTACTTAACCTGAGCCCATGAACTCACGAGAAATATTTTTAAGAAAGAAAAGAGAGTCTCTAGATTTTAAAAAATAATTTAAAATAATTTTTTCAAAGCCTGAAGATAAAAATAAACAGTTAAAGAAAGAGTTCTAACAATCTGGAATATAATTTGCAACAAAAAGTAAAGAAAAATGGTGAATTAGAGCAAGAGATATCTGAACTTAAGATACCCTTGGAAAAAGAAGTTAAATGAATATGAAAATGGAGAAATTAGTTTCCAAGGGGTTTCAAAAGTCAGTTGATTTGAAATGGATATTCAATTAAATATGTAAAACATAAAATTGATGATCTTGCAGCAAAAATTCAGTATGACTCATCATCTTTCAAAACAATACAGAGGAATGTGTAAAACTAAATTAAGAAGAGAGGACTGAAGTTGAAACATCAAAAATCATATGGAAGTAAATATGGCAGAAGCACCAGCTCAAGAAAACTTAGAGCAGTTAAGAGAGAGTAATTATGCTTCCATAGGAAGTGAAATGGAACTCAGATTTAAAAATCAGGAATCTGAACTCTTCAAAATAAGAGATTCTCAAGAAGATTCTAATGAAACAGAATTGGAAAAATATAAACAACTCTGTCTAGAAGAATCACAAATTAGAAATGCATTATCAGATAAACTGAAAAGATAGCAGAGGTCAGTGCCAAACTTCTTGTTGAGAAACAGCAGAATAGGTCTCTGCTCAACAGTCTTACTGCAAGACCAGTCGTAGAGTCACCTCATGTTGGAAATCTTAACAACAGTTTAGTGCATGACAGAAATCTTATTTTGAGAGAAACCTCAGTGATGATGCCTACTTCAATCTCATGGCCTTCAAATAGCAGCATAGAGAACTACTTGTTCAAGGATGCAACAGGAGTTGGAAAAAAGTATAGAGAATGAAGAGAAGCTGCTACTGAGTTTGCACCTGTATTTTGTAGAGCATCTCCTTGAAGATCTCTAAAGATCTATAGAAGCATCAAAAGAATATGTACATATTCTGAAGAAAAAGGACATTATCTGAAAAATAAAATTTTATCCACTAGACTATTTACATGAACTTTTATTTTTCACTAAATACATGGCATGCACAAATCTTTATTAAATACTTTTTTTTTATTAAAAAAAAAAAAAAAGACTCTCCATGTGCCAAACAAATCAAAATTAAACAACCAAAAGTTCAGGAATGGCCAGCAGGTGGTGTAGTGGTTAAGATGCTAGTCTCCCACGTAGCTGATTGTGGTTTGAGTCCTGGATGCAATGGCTTGAAAATCACTCCAGGCATGTGTGCACATGTGATCCATATCCCAGAAGGAGAATGGAGGAAAAGGGATTGTGATGTTGCCATCCTGCTAGGAGGTGATTTCTCACTTTCCCTTTCTCTGTCTTTCTCTGTCTGTCTTGGGCAAGTGCACATAACTTATGGCATAAACCTTAAAGAAAAAAAAAGTTCTAGAGTAAATAGTTTGACAAGGTTTAAATTCCACTGGTCATAGTTTTTACTTGGATTATAATGGTGACTAAGGACCATTGTATGCTGCAAAATGAGCAGATCTCAAGAGGTATTCAATTTTATAATTAGTCTGGTGATATAATCAATAGTAATATGGAGACCCACTACAGAAATATAAATATTAGGAAACCTTGCAACAGCCAGACTTGCTATTTACTGGTCAAGGGGCCCACAAATAACCATTATCCATCTCCACAAATGCATTATGCACTACTTTCCTGAATTCTCTTAATGTATTTGGCTCTCGGGTCTCCAGTAATTAAGTCCTTCATGTTATTAAAATCAGGGCAAAGATAAATGTAGCATTTGGTTTTGTTCAGCACCATGCATAGGCTCCCACTTGTGCAAAAAAGAGATCGAGAGCTGCATGATGTTTCAACAAGTGTTTTTGATGGTCATGAATATAGCCTTCCATTTGTTGGAGGTTGGCTTTTGCTTTTCTTAATCCATGAGAATTATAGTTAGCTACAAATTCCAAATTTCCCCAAATTTAGGGGTTAACTTTAAATTTTATACAACTGGCATTCCATCACCACCAGCAGTGAGCCTTCAGGAGCCCTTTGAAACAAACCTCAGTGAAAACTAACTAGTGAAACTAGTTATTTTCCTATTTGTTTTGTGTTTTCTTAATTTTGTTTATAATACCTTTTGTTTCCTGATGTAGTACTTCCTTAAAAAAATTTTTTTTTGGAGAGGTTTTTGCCACAGGCAATGTGTGCTCACCAGAGAGACAGAGAGAGACAGAGAGACAGAAAGTGAGAAATCACACCCTGGGGGGATGGCCACGCTGCAATCCCTTCTCCTCCATTCTCCTCTCAGGATCTTGAGCACGCACGCCCACGCCCCCGGTGTGTTTTAAGCCACTGGGTCCAGGACTCGAACTGCAGTCGACTACATGGAAGTCCAGTGACATAGCCATTACACTAACTGCTGGTCCCTTAAATATTTTTTTAAGAGATGGTCTAGTGTTGGTAAATTCTTTCAGTTTTTGCTTCCTTGGAATAATTTAATTTTCCCCTCCAATTTGAAGGATAGTTTTGCTGGGCATAGTATTTTTCACTAAAAATTTTTCTCTCAAAATTTTATGTATGTCTTCCCATTCCCTCTGTGTCTGCATTTAGGCTCTGCTGAGAAGTCTGTGGTCAGTCAGGTGGAGTATCCTTATTATATAAGTAAATTGATGCTTCTTTCCTGCAATTTTTATAATATTATCTTTGTCTTTGACTTTTGCCATTTTGGCTATGATGTGCTGTAGACATGATCTCAAGTTGAGTCTATATGGTACCCCTTATATTTCTTGAATCTCAATGTCTGTATTCTCTAGACTTGGAAATTTTCAAATTTTCAGTTTTATGAAATAGATTTTCTATGCCTTTATCCATCTCTTTGCTTCTGGGATACCTATTATGTAGCTTTTTGGTCATCTAATGATGTTTCATGTTTCCCATATGTTGTCTGCATTTTTTTTTTTTTCTATAGGTCATGTGCGACAGAAAGAGAGGGAAGGTGAGAAATTACCCCTGGGGGAGTGGCCACGAAACAATTCCTCCTCTTCTATTCTCTTATTGGAATTTTGAGCACTCACGCACATGTGCTGGGTATAAGCCACCAGTTTTTGGACATGGACTGCACAATTGACTATGTGGGATTCAGCCATGTTAACTACCTCCCCACCTGCTGGTCCTGTTGTCTGCATTTTAAAATTTATTTTATTATTTTATTTTAAATTTATTTTACATTCATTCACTGTAGATTATTGCAGCATACAAAATGAGTTTTCCCATCTAGAATATACTGTATATCAGCTCAATCAAAGATACTACCATACATGTTATCTTCAACAAATAATTTTCTCTTTGTTTCTTAAATATTTAATTGTCAACATTTTTAATAGTTCTTTCTTTCTTTTTTCTTTTTTTTTTTTTTGAGAGGTTTTTGCTATAGGGTGGGTGCTCTCACCAGAAGGACAGAAAGAGACAGACAGAAAGTGAGAAATCACCCCCCAGGGGGGATAGCCAAACCACAATTCCTTCTCCTCCATTCTCCTCTCAGGATCTTTGGCAATGCACACATGCACCTGTCGTGAGTTTAAGCCACTGGGTTCGGGACTTGAACCCTGGTTGACTACGTGGGACTCCAGTGACATGGCCATTATGCCATCTGCTGGTCCCTTTTTCTTTTTTAAATAATTATTTTATTTTATTCATTGTTGTTTTAATTTGAACAGAGAGAAACAGAGAGAGAGAGGAAAGAGAGGAAGCAAGCTGCTAGGTCTGGTACTTAAACCATGGTCAGTCATGTAGGAATCTAGTGCCCCAATCACTATGCCACCTGCCAATCCCAGTTTTTTTTTCTTTCTGTTTGGTTACTTGGACTAAATCAAAGGTTATATCTTCAAACATAGAGATTCTTTCTTCTTCACAGTCTACTTTGTTGTTGATACTTTCTATAGAGTTTAAATTTCAGCATTATATTCTTTATCTCCAGAAGTTATGTTTGATTCTTTTTAAAGATGGCTGTGGGTGCTCTCACCAGAAGGACAGAAAGAGACAGACAGAAAGTGAGAAATCACCCCCCAGGGGGGATAGCCAAACCACAATTCCTTCTCCTCCATTCTCCTCTCAGGATCTTTGGCAATGCACACATGCACCTGTCGTGAGTTTAAGCCACTGGGTTCGGGACTTGAACCCTGGTTGACTACGTGGGACTCCAGTGACATGGCCATTATGCCATCTGCTGGTCCCTTTTTCTTTTTTAAATAATTATTTTATTTTATTCATTGTTGTTTTAATTTGAACAGAGAGAAACAGAGAGAGAGAGGAAAGAGAGGAAGCAAGCTGCTAGGTCTGGTACTTAAACCATGGTCAGTCATGTAGGAATCTAGTGCCCCAATCACTATGCCACCTGCCAATCCCAGTTTTTTTTTCTTTCTGTTTGGTTACTTGGACTAAATCAAAGGTTATATCTTCAAACATAGAGATTCTTTCTTCTTCACAGTCTACTTTGTTGTTGATACTTTCTATAGAGTTTAAATTTCAGCATTATATTCTTTATCTCCAGAAGTTATGTTTGATTCTTTTTAAAGATGGCTATCTCTTAGACATAGAATTCCTCATTCATGTCAAAGAAAGATTTTTCTAATTTCTTTGAATTTCTTATCTGTTTTCTTTTGCATCTATCTCATTGAGTTTTGTTATAATCGACATTCTCAATTCCATTTCTGACATTTCTTTTACTATCTAATGTCAGTGAGGAGTTATTTATTGCTCCTTTGAGGGAGAGATATTTCCTTTTTTCATATATCTTGTGTCTCTACATTGATTTTTAGGCATCTGGTGGAGTACTCATTTCTTCCTGATTTATGAAGTAGGTTCTGAAATGCTAGGAATGGAGTTATGGGGGAATGGAGATGATATTTTTCTTTAAGGCTTTGTGAAAACAAAGTAAGGTACTAAATGGTGATTAATTTTGAATAAAGCAAGACAAATAATAGCATACATGATTGATATAACCAGATAGTAATGTTATTTCACTCCACAAATGTAAGGGAAAACAGTTAGTAACAATGGGTTTAATGTGGTTTTTGGTTTGAAGTCTTTTCCACTCATTGTTTGACTTTTCTTTTTCTTTTAAACAATGAATCCTACCCCCCCCC